TGCAAGGGCAAAAAGAGAAAATTAGGTGGCAGCCTGGGAGACATAGGCAGTAGTGCAAGCAAGGGGCAAATAGAAGCAGTAATGCAAGCAAAATGGAAATTATCCACAGTGGTGCTGAGGGTTAGCATGGGCCTGAGGTCTAAAGTTGCTCTGTTGTAGTTAAACAGTGTCACAGGAGAGGCCCCTTCCAGAAGATGGGCCTTAGTCTTATGACTCAGTTTTGGGAGATTAGAATAACTCCACTTGTTCCAGGGTCTTATTAGTGAAGGTTGAGGAAGTGGGATGGTCAAAAGTTCTTAGGCAGCTGGACACCAGTTAAAGCCCTCCTCCCCGCTGAGTAATGGCTTGCTGGTTAGGATACCGGAACCAGCGCAAACGGGCAAACTCACGAATTCTTAATACTGGATAAGACGATGTCACCTGACTTATTAACAAAGATATGAGCTCATGAATCGCTAAACTCTACATTTGATCTTAGCCAAAAGGCCAAGAAGCGATGAATGAATCACTAAACTCTAAAGACAATTCCATCATAGTCATGATCGCCTGTAGTAAAGCCCTCCCAGGACTGCAGTCCCTCAACTTCTCACCCCAAGTACAACCTGGCACACAAAAAATACCCAAGGGTGGACAGGCAAAGTAACATTGCCGAAGTAAAATCACAGCAGACATCCCTGATTGAATAAAAGAAAATTTTAAGAACTTACTCAGAATTTCCTGTATGTTACGACCTTAAATGAGCAAAAATATTTTAGGTGGGACAGAAAATCCTCAGGTGTCCCTGATCTAACCAGTAGGTTCAGTGTAGCACTGTTTTACAGACCACAGGTGGTGACTCATGAGTAGACTGTGAGGTTATTTTTAGAAAGAAAATGAAAGAAAAATATCAGAATGCAGGGCATTACATGGGGTATTTCATGAGGTTTTTTTTTGTTTTGCTTTGTCATACTGTAATTATGAGTGTGTGATAGTTTGCGGTGTGAATTGTATTTATTGTGGCTGACAACAGTTTAAAATGGATTTTGGAAAGGGTCATTTCCTACAGTCTATCCCTGGGCAGTTTTAGTGTTGCTTAGGGTATAAGAGCACACATGGATAGTCTGCTTTTTAAGATGGTTTATGTTTTAAAGATCGAACATAAGAACCAGACTCCACCCCAGCTTCAACTGCTAAGTCACTTACTGAACCAAAAGTTCCAATAATCTTCTACCAAGAAAAACTGTTAATTGGTGTTTACTAGGCTAGTCTTAAATTTTTTGAATTCTTTTCCTCCTTCCTCATACTTCCTCTTCTTTCGCCTTTTGTAATCACGGAATTGAATTGTTCCTTGGGAGAATAACATGACACAATTTGCAGTATCTTTCAAACTATGATGGAAACTACTAAAACCTGTATTTTCACTTTACCATCACTATGATATGGAAAACTGCAAAAATAATGATGCCACAACTGAAAGAGGATCACTGCTTGAACTTAACTATCATTTATGATAAAAGTAGACATTCTATCAGGTGCCATGGTGCATGTCTGTAATCCTGGGTGCCATGGTGCATGCCTGTAATCCCCGCTACTCAGGAGGCTGAGGCAGGAGGATTACGAGTTCAAGGTCAGCCTAGGCAACTTAGTAAGACTCTCTCAGAAATTTAAAAGGCAAGAGATCCTGGTCAATGGAAGAGCACTTGCCTACCATGTGTGAGGTTCTGGGTTCAATCCCCAGCACCAGAGAAGAAAACAAAAGTAAACCTCTTAGTTCTGGCACATTTTAAAATACGACTCAGAAGTTCCAACTTCTAAGTGATCTAAAAGAGCTCTGAATTGCCCTCTGTTCTGCCATCAGATCCTTTTCTGTACTCATGTCACCATATTAAAAGAACAAAAACTACAACACTCATTTCCCTGGTATAAACAGATGAAAAAGAGTAGAAACAGCAAAGAAACTTTTCATTAAATCTAATTCTTAAAATGGTTGTGATTTCATATGTGCAATTAAGTTAGGAAAGTACGCACATTTAAAAAACTAACACTTGAAACTTCATACTGTTTAGTTGAACATGGGGGTGCATGCCTCTAATCCCAGCACTCAGGATGCTGAGGCAAGAGGATCGTGATTTTGAGGCCAACCTGGGCTACACAGTATGGCCTGTCTCAAACAAATAAAAGCAAAAACATACTTTTAAGGTAAGTCATCTTTTAACTATAAGGAAAGGCAACACTTTTTGTATAGCCACTTTCTTGTAGTCTTACATTACATATTATTAGTACAATTGATCTGCTGTTGGTTAAACTCACATTGTCACATGCTAGTTGCTACTCTCCACATACTGGAAAATGGTAAAGCCTTATACAATTACAGTTCTAAAAGCTAACACCTACAAAGATCTAGCTAATATTATTTTCAGATATTAAAATCTTTTTCACTGGGCGTGGTGGTGCATTCCTGTAATCCCAATACTCAGGAGGGTGAGGCAGGAGGATTATTCTGAGTTCAAGACCAGCCTGGGCTACAAAGTGAACTCAAGTCCAGCCTGAACTGCATAGCGAGACCCTGTCTCAAAAAAAGCAAAAAAAAAAATCTTTTTCATCTCTAATATCTGCCTTTTAGCCATTTTACCAGCAGTGTTGGGCCTATAGCAGACATCTTATACTCATTGGATGAAAGAAAACTGTAATTTCCCTTAGAAAATGATTAGCAAAGGAAGGAATAAAACTCCTATGTGCTTGACTTCACCACACACCATGAGGGCAGCATGTCCAGTTTTGCTGAGGGTAGAGAAGCAGGTAAGGACAGGGAGGTGGGGTCTTCCAGACTTTACGAAGGAGTTTGGACTGGCATCTGACAGTAAGGAAGCGAGGTTGGAGATGTTAAGCAAGGGAGTCAAAAAGAATTGTCATAGTTTAGAAAGGTCACTGTGGGTATTGGTAGAGAACAGAATTGATGGTTGGGTGAAGTGGATACTAGTGAGAAAGCTATTGTGACCCAAAGGAGAAGACGTGTCAGGCTAAGCCAAGATAGTGGCAGAGGAGATGGACAGAGCAAAACCAATGGCACAGACATTTGTCAGGTTGAGATGCAAAGATGCCGAGTGAGAAGAAAGGGTCAAGAATGAAATCTCAGTGTCACGCAGGGACAGCAGGAAGGACGCCTACAATATTATAACAGGTAACTTCTGATGTGATAGATTTGAAGTTCTTCTTACAGATTCCAGCAAAGATACGTAAGCGGCAATTTTTAATGTCAGTGTGAGTTTAAGAAAGGATTAGGATTGAAATGCAACTTCTTGAATTTTAATCCAGGTCAATGTTTATTGTTCTATAATTGACTGCCACACACTGAAAACTCAGATAAAAGGTTGAATGCTGCTCAAACCAAAAGTTTACTCTCTTGATTGTTCTCAGAGTTTGATATACTATTTTCCATTAGAAAGCCAAATCTCCTCTTAGTATTTATTTATTTATTTTGGTACCTGGAATCGAACTCAGGACCTTGTGCTTGCCAGGCAAGCACTTGTGCCACTGAGCTATATCCCTGGCCTTCCTCTTGATGTTTAAACAGTCTCTGTTATTTAAGGCATTAGTTATTTCATGGGTCAAAAAGAAAATGCATAATCTTTGTTGAATCTATCCTTCGAGGGACGTCTTCTATTTCTATTGGTTCCACAACTATGCCAGAAGAATGCAAGTAAGAATAGGTATTATTAAAATACCTTAGTACTTAACGTCAGGCAGCCTTAAATCCAACTGCCTCTCTTCATACTTATGAAAGGAAAACATTTAAGACATTCAGGGTAGCTGCATAGCACTGAAGTTGAGTGGACTACCAGGTCAGATTCCTGGGCTTACATCTCACTAGCTGCACGATCTTCACCAACGTAATTTCTCTGGCCTTTGTTTCCTTACCTAAAAAAGTGAAACAGTAATAGTACTTACCACTTGAATTTGTGATTCGTTATGTAGAGCTCCTACCTGTCATTATTGAATAATTCTGTTAAAGATGTTTTCTCTTTGTTAAACTTAACATCATCACTGAATAAAAATCTTGGAAATAATTCTTTCCAAGATCAAGTTTTCCAATCAGAAACAGGATTTCATAGTTCAAATACAACAGCTAGTGTTAGCCCTCTCTGAAAACTCCCAGGGTATCTGTAAAGGTCACTGCACAATAGACTTTTACTAGTAAGCAAAGTAATGAATGATAAAAGTAGATTTCCAGATGACTAAGGGATTAGGGTCAGAGTAACAAGAATCAGTTTTTTTTTTTTTTTTTTTTTTTTTTGTACCAGGAATCAAACTCATGACCTCAGGTTTGCCAGGCAAGTGCTTATGCCACTGAGCTACATCCCCAGCCCAAGAATCAGTATCTCAAGTTTACTGAAATAACAGTTCTATAGTCCTAACCAGCAAGTACCCCCAAAAAATAATCTGAAAAGAGGATTCAAAGGGGCTAAGAGTATCACTCAGTTGGACAGTATTTATCTAGCATATGTGAGACCTTGTGTTTGATAAGTTCAGTGTAAACGGAACAATTTATCCTTATTTCCATAAGATGAGAACTGGTTACCAAGACAAATTTTACTAAACAGCCAGGCATAGTATCTGTAGTCCTAAATAATCTGGAGGCTGAGGCAAGAGAATCACTTGAACCCAGGAGTTTCAAGACCAGCAGGGGCACCAGAACAAGACCACCACCTTCAAAAAGTTATTTTTAAATAAAGGGACCTAGCAGGGTCTTTGAAGCAGTAATAAAAGTGTATGGTAAACAACTTCTCAAATGTGAAAGGTCATACTTAACCAGACCATTCACCTAGCTCCCAGAAAGCTGAATTAGGAATATGCCTGAAATAAAACAAGAGCCTTACCAAGCCATGAACACATGATCTGTGCTTTTAAATTAGCAGTTAATAATCTTGAAAGCAACAGTTTAACAACAGATATAAATGATGTGCTGCTTAAAGTAACACACACAGTGTGCTTAATTACAAATTACATCCAGTCCGTACAAGTTGAATACATGCCATACTTTAATAATCACAAAGGTCAGCTGTTTTTCTGGAGTGTGTTTCAAACAGAGTTGACACATAACCCACACATAACAGTATTGCTGTGATTTTTAGCTATTTTATTTAAGGGTCCAAAATATATTGTATTCACAAAATAACACTAGTTGTGAATGTTCACCAGTTCTTTTATTTATATTCATTCAAAAACACTCCATCCTCGTCATTCTTACTAATCTATATCACTGAAAATAACCAAAGGTGATAATTCACAGTTTCACCTCTATGCAGAAGTTCTAATTGACTCAAAAGGCAAAGGATTGCCGTGCTCTAGAAACCTGCAGGTCAACTTCTCAACACTTAAAACAGCAAAAATGCCCAGTGCAGTCATTGTAGCCATGTGTTTGGCCTTTCTCTTTAAATCTATGTTTAAGCATGAAATGTAACCATAGAGATTGCCAGAAGCTAACTCCCATAGCAAAGATAAAATGCAAAAGGACTTGAAGAGGTGTTGAGATTCCAATAGCAGACTTAAAAAACTGAATGCTTAGATATAACTCTTATATCTTTCTTTAATTAAGAGGTCACTCTCACAAGATTTGAGGCAGTAATCTATATTAGCGTGTGATTAATCAAAGTGTGCGCTTACTACCACGGGTTTGGGTCCTATGTCATAAGATTATTTTTGTCCTTTCCCCCAAAGAATCACTTGCTCTTGAAGTAATAGGCTTTTTAAGGCACATTTTAACAAAAACCTATCATACACCCAGCTTAAAAATGGAAGCTCCACTTGGTTATAATAGTATATGTATATATATTAGATAAAGTGTGATTTACCAAATAGGCAAGTGTCTCTTTCTTGAGGATAAAGTTGTATTAGAAACTTGACTCTTTTATTTGCTTATCCAAAGCAAAACATTCCATAAAAAATATTCAAGAATTAGATCTATTAGAATAACGCAGAAGAGCCAGGCCTGTCAGCAACAGTTGAGCAGGGTACAGCTCTGGAAATTAGGGAGAAGACGTCCCTGGAACTCTAGGCTCCTAACCATCCAGGTTTCCGAGGAGAAGGGAATTAGGGTACCTTAATGATTTTTAGAAATCTCCCTTCAACATGCACAGACCTTTGAGGGGCTCAAACCTTAAACCTCAGTAAACTACCCTCTTCAATTTTAGTTACCACCTTTAAAGCAATAGGACTTGGGAACAGGGAGAAGAAAGAGAAAGGACGGAAAGAAGCCACTGAGATAAATGGGAGAGTTTTAAGGGCAAGTTGTTTTAGGGACTTTGTACATTTTTTTAGTTTTGTTTTGTTTTTCTCCGGTACCGGGAACTGAACTCACAACCTTGCGCTTGCCAGGCAGGCACTGTGCCGCTGAGCTAAATCCCCAGCCCCCTACTTTGTACATTTTGTTAGGACCAACTTTCTTGTCTCTAGGAGGTTCTGCTTTTTAAAATCTTTTCCTAATGCCCTGCAAGGATGCCATAGAGTACTAACCTTTGGGGTGGATATAGAATTATCTACTAGGAATGGTTTGGCATAGGAGTAGAGTTAGGACCGAGTTTTCTACTATTCCAAGGTAAATATAAGTGCAGAAACTGCTTGGAAACAATTGCAAAGCCTTTAATTCCTCATCTGGCTATCCTTTCTCGCTGTCGCTAGGGTTTTCGGGATGGCTCTTCAGCCTTACAGAGCATTTTGGGTGCAAGCAGAGTTCATCATACTGTGAGAACAGGTAGATGACGCGAGGCACATTATCACAGATGCAGAGGTGATTCGGGTGACAAAGACAGCCAACGGGATTAAGTTCCACGGTGCAGATTTGCTCTACTCACTGTGGCCATGAAGCAATAAAAAATGTGTCCTATTAAGATTTTAAAGGTATCGCAACAGGCCACTGCACAGGGTCCAAACACACAGAATGGTACCGATGTAGGTACCATTTAGGCTGCACTGCTATCCCCTACACTGGATAAACCTTTGGCTGCTGATATTGCTTTAGCCCCAAGTGGCAGGTACAGAGGAGCCTCTAGAAACCAGGCCTCAACAACATTCTTATTTCTCCCCAGTGATGGGCACCGTTTTGGAAATCTGGTCCCAGAAGTTCTAAAGAATGGTAACGCAGAAATCACCTGTCTGTACAAAGTGATTTATAGAGGTGTATACGGAGGTAAAGGGCTTCATAAAAACTATTGGTTTAGGAAGTACAACCATAGTAATAGAAATTTTTAGGTAAGTTTGGTGCTAAAATTATTCTACAAAACTTCACACCCGTTAAAAATGGGGACAGTTCTTATTGCTCCGGGAGCCTGCAGCCCCAAGCAGTTCCAACTCCACTGAAAAATGATTTCTTTCAACAACTGGTAGCAAAGATTCCCAGATTTACAAAAAGTCATTACCAATGCATCATTTTGATTAATTTCTGATTGCCACAGGATGTGAGCTACACTATGCATGTCCGTGACACCAAGTACAGAAAAGAGTTTAGAAAAGTCATCTTATCAAAGTTCAGTTCCATGAGAAAAAAACATGAAAAAGTGCAAAATATGTACAGTTCCTGGCAGTTCTCACACAGGGTTTTTCTAACTACTGACCTTTGACGTCTACATATGTGTAATGAAAGTACAGTGGATTTCACTTCATTGTTAATATACAAGGTTTTGCTTCAAAGTGCTTGCTTTATTTAAAAAAAGAGAAGATCAAGAGGGTTGCAGGAGTTTTTTTTGAACAAGTCCACCTCATGGGTTCCGATCTCCTTCATTTTTCTTCAGTGCAACACGGTGCAGCAGCCTCATTGAAAAGGTTTCAAAGATGTTCCCGAAACCTCACCTACAGCGGCACTCGGGGGGTCCCATTAGGGGTGGCCCCTTTCTTTTTCTGTAGCCGATTCTGAACCTTTCGAGATTTCACCACTTTCATCCTCACCTCAAAAACTTCATGGATGGCCTTCCGGAAACAGTGAAAATTATAGTCAATAAGCCCTGAGGAAGAGAACAAAAATATTTATAAATGCCCCATGTCTTTTCATGTTTGCAATGTCCAGGAAAAACCAGTAGGGGGTGGTAGAGGTCCAGTTGTGACCTAAAGGGCCCGCTTCCCTAGATCTGCCCCTGGGCTATAGGAACGGAGCCTGTGAAGGTAGTGGTTCCTGAGGAAATGTTGCAGAGCAGAAACCATATTTTCAAACAGCGCTGTGACTCAGAAGATTTGAAGGACCACTGAAATGCACTTTTTTTCTTTTTACCTTTCAGAACTAAAGGTTACAATTAACAAAATTTTAATGAAAAAGTTTCCCCCCAAAAGTCATGATTCACTTAACTCTGAATGGAAGCATATCCTGACTTGGGGTGTAGCTGACATATGTTAATCAATCATACTTATTCTGTACCTATTCTACTTAAGTCATCCTCATAAACCCTAGCAAAAAAGCAAAGTCCCTGATTCTAGAAAGGTAATGGTCAACTCCAAGCTCAGGAATTGAACAACCAATGGCACACTCAGCTTTTCAATATTAAGTAGATTTTAAATGGTGAAATAATGGAGGAAATCTTCTGTGTTTTCAGAAATAAATTTTGATTAGAGTAACACTTTAAAATTTTAAGGAGCTGGGCATGGTGGCACATGCTTACAATCCCAGCATGTGGGAGGCTGAGGCAGGAGGATCACTGAGAGTTTGAGACCAGTCTGGGCTACAAAGTGAGCTCAACGCCAGCCTGAACTGCAGAGCAAGACCTTCTCTCAAAAAAGACAAAATAAATAAATAGATAGATAAAATCTTAAGGAATGGGGCTGGGGGTTTAGTTCAGCGGCACAGGGCCTGCCTGGCAAGCGCAAGGTTGTGAGTTTGATTCCTGGTACAGGAAAAAAACCAAACCAAAACAAAACAAAACAAAACAAAAAATCTTAAGGAATGTTTTCATCGTTAGTATTAATTTGCAAGTGCTGAGAGTAATACCCTGCTCACACCAATTAGGATAAGGATGTTGGTTCTTGCTGCATCTTTACCTAGCCTAATAATTATTTGCATCTATGAGGTGTTGTTTTCAGAGGCTTGACCAAAGAACTAGGATTCCAGCCCAGGAAGAAATGCTTTGAATTAGTTATGCAGCTAACTATTTAGTGTACTGGGGAAGAAACAGCCATCACAGCTTCTGGGAGCAAAAAAGCTCTGAGCAATGCCCTCTGCTGCTTCTGCAGACGTAGTAAAGCCCAATGCAGTAAAATGAGGAGCTGGTTCCCTCAGATAAGACCACTGAGGCAATCAGGGCAAAAGTAATAAAAAATAACGAGCAAAGGAGTGACTTCATTTAGTGGGGATTTTGGCTATGAGGCAGGCTCTCTGCTTATATGTGCAAGAAACTGCCTTAAGGATAAAACTGAGCTCAAGGAATCTGGCTCAAGAAAAAGGTACAATTAAATGTTCAACTACGGAAAACTTCGAGATATTAGGGCCTGGGGACTGAACAAGGGCCTTCACACTCAGCTACATCCATAGCCCTTTTGTTTTGTTGTTTTGTTTTGTTTTTGAGACAGGTTCTTGCTAAGTTGCCCACGCTGGGCTCAAACTTGCAATCCTCTTGCCTCAGCCTCCCAGAGAGCTAGAATTACAACCATGAGCCGCCACACACAGCTCAACAAATCGTAACTCATTCATCCTCACACATTTCAAAATGTGACAACTCTTGATGTATTCAGAGTTTTAAAAGTTAAAAAAAAAAGTTTACAACTGAGGTTTGTTTTGTTGTTGTTTTTCGCAGTACAGGGGTCTAAACCCAGGGCCTTTTCACTGAGCTATATCACCAGCACTTTTTAAAAAAAATTTTATTTTGAGAGAGGGTCTCGCAAAGTCACTAAATAGCCCACGCCTAGTCACAATTTTCTTGCCTCAGCCTCCCAAGTGTTAGGACTGCAGATGTATACAACCAGGCCTGACTCTACCACTGAGTGTTTTAATGGATGTAAGAAAGTGTTCACTTAGCTGGGTGTGGTGGCACACACCTGTAACCCCAGTGCCTGAGAGGCTGAGACAGGAGGCTCATGAGTTCTAACCCAGCCTGAACTACACAATGAGACCCTGTCTCAAAAAAATAATAGACGCTGGCTATATTGACCCTTTCGTTAAAGGCAGCTGAAAATACCAGAACAGAAACATTAACAGAATAAACACCACCTCTGCCGTCATCCACAGTTGATACAGCCCACACACTGGGATTCAGTGCATAAAAACGCTTGGCACTTAAAAAAACCTAACACGCCCCAGCCCCAGTCCCATGAATTCTACTCTCACTCTTTGGAGGAGGACCCACATGCCCATATATTTTATTTAGATTTTTTTTTTTGGTACCAGGAATCGAACTCACAACCTCACGCTTGCCAGGCAGGCACTGGGCCACTGAGCTATATCCCCAGCCCTACCCATATATTTTAATTGCTCCCTTCTCCAAGGTGCCTATCACATGATCTGATCTGATCCTCTGCCTCCTGCAGCCGTGGAAATCATCAATGAAAACTTAGGGGACCAACAGACTCAACAATACTTGAGATTAAAGCAACAATAAATTCAAATAGTCTATTCATCTCTATGCATTAAGTTCTCTTTAAAGATACTCTATGACAGCTAGTGTGATCAACTCATCAGGTTTACATGGGATTTTAGCAATTTAGCATTGAACAGCTCCAGTCTCAGACATCTGGAGAGAAGGCTGCCACTCTAAAAAGCACACACAAGTCAAACAAGATGAGAATAACCATTAAGTGTGCCCATCATCTTACCTTTCTTAGTTATACTACACTACTAAAGCTAATACCCAGGTTTTTGGGAAGTTTAATAAGTTCTAAAAAATCTGCCTGTCCTCAGAGATGATCCTCCCTAGAAGGTTTAGCAATAATTTGCCAAACACTCATGTTATAAATTCCTGCTTTAATTTAGTTCCCCAACCAAACATATGGATGTTAAAATCAGTGGGCAAAAACTGTAAGGAGAAATGGGATTTACATAGTTTAAAAGTACAGTGGTACCTCAGTTCACAAACAATTCATTCCACGATTCCAGAAAAGATGGCTGCGTTCATGTTCATGCGGGAAAGATAATGGCTGTGGTCATGTTTGTCACCCCATGCAGAGTTCACAAACAAAAACAAAATTTTGCCAGGTGCTTCTGTTTGCAAACTAAATTGTTTACAAACAAACACCTTTGTAAACTGAGGCAGCACTACATTCATTCACTTCGGGAACTTTACAGTGAAAACCTGACAGACCCTCAACCAGCAAGGCTCATTAGTAACATCCTTAGTGATGAGGCACGTCGGTGCTGTGAGCTAACCCCGGTGAGCCCAGAGGACACAGCACGGCTTCTGTGTGGCACTCCCGCCAAAGCGCACAACCTCATCCCAGCTGTGTGAAGTTACCAGACAGTCTACAAAGTGACTGATCTTCCCGAGTGTCAAGGACACAAGACAAACACTCACAGGCTGGAAAAAACTAGGAGAGATAACTAAACCAAGTTGGGGATCCTAGAACAGAAAAAAGACCTTTGGAAAACCTGCTGACATTTGAAGAAGGCCTGTGGTTTGGTTAATAGTATTATACCGCTGTTCATTCCCCGGCTTTGGTAACTGTAGCATGTAAGATGTTAGGATTCGGGGAAGCTGGAGGACAAGTATATGAAGATTATGTACTATTTCTGCAACTTTTCTGTTACGTCTAAAATCAGTTCAAAATAAACAGGGTCGCCAAGCTGACTCTAACGTTTCCTAAATTTTAGAACCTACTGTCAGCCTATATGCTTTTGGAGCTAAAGTTGCATTACTTTTTTTTCCCCTGAGCTTCCAAAGTCAATATGAAATATCAATCCCTAATAAATTTGGGAAATACCTTCAACCAAGGAAATAGGGGTATAATGATTAAATACAAGCACCAACACACACACACACACACACACACACTCATACAACTAGCTCGCTACAAAGAGAAATCTAGCTTTATTTAGCCCTGACTGCCATAAATTGGTGGTGTGAGCTTAGGAGAAGGTCACTTATATTTTCTGAGCCTGAGTAAAATCATCTGTGAAACAAGAGATAGCCCTGTTTATCTTCAAATTCCAGGAGTCTAACATATAATTTGTTCTTGCTTTCAGCAAAATGAAAATAATAAGAGACAACACTAACATAACTTTTGAGGACAAAAGACACAAAAGGCAACATAATCAGTAATCATAAACACAGGACAAATATATAGCTTCCTGGAGAAGCAAGCAAATGCAAATTTATTTATTTATTTATTTTTTGGTACCAGGAATCTAATGGAAATGCAAATTTAAATGATATTCCAGCATTCAATTATCAACTTTTTAAAATACTAAAATCCAATACTGATAAGAATACACCAACCTGAACACACTCATATTCCCTTAGTAACATAAACCCATAAAATCCTTCCAAAAGACATTTTGGTAATATGCATGCCCACCCTTTTAGTCCAAGTAATTCTACTTGAAATTTTTCCTGAGGAAAAAACCAGGGATGCACATAAATATTTAGTGCAAAGAAGGTCATCAAAGTATTATTTGTAACATTTTGTCTTTTTTTTTTTTTTGAGATAGGGTCTTGCTATGCAGTTCAGGCTGGCCTTGAGCTCACTTTGTAGCCCAGGCTGTTCTCAAACTTGCCACAATCCTCCTGCCTCAGCCTCCCTAGTGCTGGGATTACAGGCATGCACCACACACCCAGCAATTTGTAACATTAAAATCTAGAAAAAATTAAAAATTTCTAAAATTTCTAAGACTCTAAAACAACCATTAAAACAATGTGGTTGAAAAAAACACTTAGTGAACTGGAAAGATGTCCATAATAATTTAAGTGAAAGTTATGTAGAAGTATTTATCATATTATCTCAGAGTTTTCTTTAAAGTGCACACACACACAGGAAAAAATAAATATAGGAACTGTTAAGAGAAACATAGAAAGACAGGAAATGTTAGGAGTGGTTATCAAAAGTTGGACATGGTGGCGCATGCCTGTAATCCCAACACTCTGGAAGGCTGAGACAGGAGGACTGCAAGTGTGATCCCAGGCTGGCCAACTTAGCAATTTGCTGAGATCCTATCTCTAAAAGGGGGTGAGGGAGTCTAGAGGTGTAGCTCAGTGCAGATGCCCTGTGTTCAATCTCCAGTACCACTGAAGGAAAGACAGAGAGAGAGAAAAACAGAGAGACAGAGACAGAGAGTTTTCTGAGTGGGAAGCTTATCAACTTTTTTTTGCTTATTTGCTGTGTCTAAATTTTCTAAGTGAATTTATTGCTTTTGTGATAAACTACAAACAAAATCTAAATCCTGCTTTCATGGCTAATGAATTAGGAAAACTTCATAATGTAAGTGAAAAAAATCAGATATAAAACTACCTAAATAATACAGTCCCAGTTTTGTTGGAAGGAATGGGGGAAGGGGATGAAGGAAGGCAAAACAGGGGCGGGGGGAGAGACAGGAAAGAGGAAGCTGAAGAAAATCTCAGAAATTTAATACGGGGTTTAGCTTTAACATGAAATAAGTGGTTTGGTTTTGTTCTTCACACTTCCTAAATTTTCAAAGCAATGTTATTCTTGGCACTTCGTTGGAAATTTTTGTACTCAACAAATCAATAAAACAGAACTTACTACCAAAAATCCCTGTATGCATCAGTAAGCTAGTATTTCTCAGTTTAAATAGGGAGAAAGATTAGTTTTGTTTTAAAATACAATCGAATTTGGTCCTAAAAAGATATTTAGAATAGTCATGCCTTTTCTTTTCTGATCCTTGTGTGTTGAAGATTTAAGAGCTCATGAAGGCTAAATAGAAGCCAAATACCATCTAACTTTAATGCTGCATGAGTTCCGTCCCCTCCTTTACTTGGGGAGAACAATGGGTCACTCAGTCACCTATGGCCTTCTTGCAGGGTGGAGAAAGAAAGAGGCCACCACCTTCAATGCAGCTGTGGAGTCCTTTCTCTGGTCGGAAATAGCCTGGCAAGGACGTCCCAGCATGCAGACGCTAAGGCCCTGGGAGGGACATCTGGTTCTATTTCCACCTCTTGCAATCCCAGCTGCACCACTAGGGGGCAACAGGTTCGCTGGCCCGAGGCCCCACCTCTGGCCCACCTCAGGTCTGCCAGGGAAGGGAGGCTGGGACCATCCCCGTGTGCTTCCAGGGCCGGCAGCCCGCGCCCACGTTCAACAGCAGCAAAGGCAGTATGAATTGGAAGGCTTCTTTTAAACCACAACAAAACATTACCTTTTCTTTCAAAGCTTTCCTCTCTCACAAAGCAAACGAGAGCCAGGAACTTTGTCACCTCTTTTAAGTAAAGAACTGTTGTATTATTCAGCTTTATAATGGCTGTTGATTCCTTGTCATAGGGGGTTCCTGCACCATCTTCTTTGAGACTAAATGGGGACAGAAAACAAAATGTATTTGACTGTTGGGAAAGAACTACAGACTGTAACACAGGGGTAGAGACCAGCTTTTACCCATGGAAAAGCCAGGACAAGACAATTGCATTTGCAGTGCTTTTCAACAAAAGACCTCAGTGACACACAGCCACCAACCAACAGTACAGTTATGACAGTCACTGTCCTCCTGCCGCCATGAGTGGCAGCTGGGTGCCTGAGGAACACAGGTGAGGGATGCAGGTGAACTCTTTTCCCCTCCACCGCCCAGGGCTTTTTGTTTTCTCATGGTAGAATAATCAGGCTGTCAAACGTATGGTCTGGGCCAGGTGTGGTGGTACAAGCCTGTAGTCCCAGATGCTTGGGAGGCCAAGGCAGCAGGATCCCAAGTTTGAGGCCGGCTTGGACAATCTAGTGAGACCCCATCTCAAAATTTAAAAATTTTTTAAGGGGCTGGGGATTTAGCTCAGTGGCAAAAGAGCCTGCCTGGAAAGCGCAAGGTCGTGAGTTCGGTACCGGAGAAAAACCAAAAAAAATTAAAAAATAAAAATAAAAAAAATAAAAATTTTTTAAAAGATGTGAGGATGTAGCTCAGTAGTAGGGTGCTTTTTTAGTGTGTACGAAGAAGGACTAGGTTAGATCCAATACAAAAGGAGAGATGGGGGGGGAAAAAAAGCAAGTGTAGTCTGACTGATGAAAGACCAAGAAAAGCTATAAACAATGAGAGGCTTGAAGGGACATAACACCCAAATGGTGGGCTGGACCGTGAACCTGAGGGAAAAACTGATATAAAAGATTTGGGAACTTTGGTAACATTTGAATATGGTCTATATATTAGATAATAGAGTACTGTAGCCATGCTACGTTTGTTTAATTTAATAATTAAACCATGGGCCTGCCAGAGAATGTCTATTTTCTTAACAGATCTGTGCTCAAGTGGCCAGGATCAATGAATCAGGAGTCCTGCAACTTACTCTCAAATGGCTCAGTAAAAACACACAAATAATAAGTAGTAGGAAAGGAGAGATGTAGCCAATGCATCAAGTTGGTAAAAACTGGTAAATCCAAGTGCAGGGTCTACAAGACTTTCTCCTGCTAGTCTTGCTCATTTCTTGTAGATCTGAAATTTTTTTCAAAATAGTTAAATATGCCAGAGATATAGCTCAGCGGCACAGCGCCTGCCTGGCAAGTGCAAGGTTCTGAGTTCAATTCCCAGTACCAAAAAAAAAAAAAAAGTTAAAAATATTGGTCTATTTTCTTAAGAAAAGATGTGATCTTCACAGGGTTTGAATCCTGCCTCTCCTATGTAGTAGGAGAGCTTAAAGCCGGGTGCAGTGGGTGCACACCTATAATCCCAGCACTCTGGGAGGCTGAGGGAAAAGGATCACTAGTTCAAGCCCAATCTGGGCAATTTAGCAATACCTTGTTTAAAATAAAGAAGGGTTGGGGATGTAGCTCAGTGTGAACACCCTGGGTTCAATTCCCCGTGCCTCCATCCAAAAAAGTGAGTTTAGACAAACTGAGTACTTCCTATATACTGACAGAAATCACTGCAAAGTTTCCTAATTAAATTTCCTAATTATTCCCTCATGAAGAAATAATACATACAGTGCCCTGAATATAGAGTTGGGAACATATAAAATGTACAGTGAATGTTAACTGCTATTATTATGGTTATGGCTTTAATGATAAAAAAAAAAATGGGCCTGCTGAGCTGGACAGCACACCTATAATCTTGGCTAGTTGGGAAGCTGATGTAGGAGGACAGCAAATCTGAGGCCAGCCTAGGCAACTTAACAAGTCCCTGTCTCAAAATAAAAGTTTTTTAAAGTAGGCTAAGGATGGAGCTCAGTGGGAGAGCACTTGCCTAGCACGCCCGAGTCCCTGGCCCTGGGTTTATCAGTAACACCAAAACCAAAAAAGCAAAGCAAAACTTGGATGTTCCACAGACACTGGTATAACCAGAGTTATGAGTCCCTTCTTCATAGCAAAGGACATGTCCCTATACTTGTTTTCTCTTATCTGAAACTATGAATATTTCCCAATTTATGGTTACTTCCTTGATCTATGAATAATTGGCCAGAAATCTGACTTCACTGGAGTTGTACTAAACCTTTTCAATTTTACGTGATTCAACATTTATGAAATATTTACTATGTGACACACACCATTCTTAGTTCTGACCATGCGTTATACACTGTCAGCCAGAAGAATCCTCTAGATAATAAGGAAACTGAGGCTCAGGGAAAATAACTTAGGCAAAGCTGCTGCTGAACACACACCTAGACTCATATCAAAGTGAATGCTTTAATGTCATAAGCGCATAAAGGGATAGGGTGATAAGGATGATTTAATGAAAAGCCTAAATTACAGAGTATTTTAAAGGAAAAGTGCTTTTCCTAGCTTTAAAACTATTTTAGATGCCAGGCATGCTGGTGCGCACCTGTAATCCCAGCATTTGGGAGCCTAGGACAGGAGGATCACTGCAAGTTCAAGGCCAGCTTGAGCTACACAGTGAGCCACACTGTCTCAAAAAAAAAAAAAGAAAGAAAGAAAAAAAAAGAAAAGAAAAGAAGGGAGAGCATTTTTTATTTATTTACTTTTTTTTTGGTTTTGGGTTTTTTCCGGTACTGGGAATCAAGCTCACAACCTTGCACTTGCCAGGCAGGCACTGTGCCACTGAGCTAAATCCCCAGCCCGTAGGGGACAGCATTTTAAACTGCATCTACCCAGCTAGATACAAATAAATTACAAGTAAATTATAAGGATTTTATACCAGTGGAAAAGCACTTGCCCACCAAGTGTGAGTCCCTGTATTTGATCCCCAGCACCAAAAAAAAGAAGAGGAAAACGAAAAGTAAATTGTAAGCAGGAGGACCTTTTAAGGCCAGGAGTTCAAGGGCAGCCCAGGCAACAGGGAGCTCTTGTTTACAAACAGCGTAAAAGAAAAAAATATTTATATACATATTTTTAAGGGATTCAACTCAATATAACCTACCAAAACATTAAAGAAAAATTCCCATAAATTGGATCTCAGAGATTAAAGATGGTGTAACAGAATTCTTAACTAACATTGCACTGTTTTTAGCTGGTTTTTTTTTTTTTTTTTTTTTTTTTTTTTTTTTTTAAGTACTGGGGATTGAACCCAGAGCCTTCTCACTGAGCTATACCACCATCTCCTTTATTTATTTTTACTTTTATTTTTGTTTATTTATTTTGGAGACAGGATCTTGCTAAGCTGTTAAACTGCCCAGGCTGGACTCAAGCTTGCAATCTCCTGCCTCGGACTCCCAGAGTTCTATATTACAGGCCACCCTTAGCTACTATTGAATTTCTCCTGCTTATAAGCAATGCTCTGAAAACAATAAAGTGAAAGTGAAATGTTAGTATTTTTTACCCAATGAAGAAAACTATTTTTAAAATTTTCAAGTAATAATATACATATACTTAGATACACACCAAACATTGTGTTTATTAATAAATAGCACTTAACACAGGAAACTTCTTAAGTAATAATGCTAAATTTAAAAAGGGATACAAAATTGTATGTAGACAGTGATCTCATTATCCAAAATTTTGCAGAAATAAGAGTAAAATATATAAAAATATAAACAGTGACTGACAGCAGTGAGATTATGGGCTATTTTAATTTTTTCTTCATATTTTTATGTGTTTTCTATACAACATATGAATTATTTTCACTACAAAAAAAAAAATCAAACCAATTAGAGAAAACAAAACAGACCATAAAAAATAAGAAACTGGTGAGGTCTTGCAGTTGCAGTTATATACTATTCAATTTTTTATCTACGGACAATGAAAACACATGAAGGTGGAACATATGTTAAAGAGAGAGAAAGAGTGTGTGTGTGTGTGTGTGTGTGTGTGTGTGTGTGTGTGTAGAGCTGTCAGCCGTGGACAAAGCTCTGCTGTGAGATTCCTGAGGCACCCGGTCACCTGTTTCTGGGGCTGTGACCTGTGGTCTCCATGGGCTATGGGAGCAAAGCCTCCACTACAGGGCGCAGGGCTCCCCAGCATCCCACCGCGCCCCCTGCTGGTTCCCAGGGCGCCTCTTTAGTGCCTACAAATCCTCTATGACCCAGACTGGTTCTTACTGAATCCGGTGGGTTCTCGGGAACACTACACTTCACCACAAAAAAAAAACAAAACAATCTGACAGCAAAGCCAAGTTTCCTTCTGCCAGTCTCTTCCCTCCCCATGTTTGTTTTAGCTGGTAAAAGTAACTCTGATTAACATCATTTACACGAACAACTTACCACTTACATCTAATTACCATATGGCACAATAATGATCATGCATATCATTAAGTATGTGCCAGATTAATTGTGTTGTTCATTGTACTTGATTACCACAGTAATCTAGACTGTAATCAGGGTTCATTCAGCTTCTGTGACTATTTCAAGGTCATCCACTTATGGCTTAACAATAATAGAACACTGCAGAGTGGTAATCTTGGGAAATAAGGTCGGTTTTGAAAGCCAGATGGCAGTGTCTAAGAATCCTAGTAACAATAATGGTAATAAATTATGGCAGCCACATTTATCCCTGGTCTCCCAAGTCAAGGCACATTACAAGCCTAATGGTGTTTCACCTTCACCACAATTCTGAGAGCTCAGTATCGCTATCCCGACTTCATAATGAAAGGAACTGACAGAGTTGCAGAGCAGGGATAACAGAGTTTGTGCAAAGGGTTTTCAGACCATGGAAGAGAGAAGTGCTGAGAATGACAGAGGAGGCTGTTGCGGGGTGCAGGTCACAGGGAGTGAGTAAAAATGGAAGATGAACTAGGGCTTCACACCTCACCCGTGACTGGATGAAAATGCAAGGTCCAATATAATCAGACAGCAACGCCTTGGTGTCAAACGATAAACACCTCGTTCATACTCACGCAACACAACACTTGTGCAGCAAATTCATGATATGCAGGATTGTTCTATCACTACAACAATTTTTCCTACTCTTCATTTATTTGCTACTATTTTTAGTGTGTAGAAAGTTGTGTTTTCTAAAAATGTGAGACCATAATAAGAAGAAATAGGCAATGTTTGCTTAGTTTTATAATTCTCTGCTACCTGTAAACAACCAAAGGCATGTTTTTTTAAAAAAACAGCAGTTTTTTATGACAAAGAGGGTAGCAGAAATATTAATTTGAGAGGTTTATTTAGAGTTTTAGTCTCCTAGAAGAGTATATACCATTATAATAGGTTGACAGTTTTTCGAAGGATCAGGAATCAGTTAGACTGAGTTCAAATTCCAGTTCTGTTTACAGTACTATGAACAGTGGTTAGAGACTTAACCACTCTGAACCTTACTTAGTCTCCTTATCTGTAAAATGAGTATAGCAATTCATGCCTCATGGAATATGAAGAATTAAATTATAAGATGCATGCAATAAGATTGTTAGCATAGCCAGACTTCTGCTCAATAATCATTTATCATTATTATAGGCTAAATGGTATATTTATAGATCTCAGTCATCTAAAACAGAAGTATTGGACTGGGGATGGCTCAATGATACATTTGCCTAACAGGCACAAAGCCTTGGGTTTGATACCCAGCACCACAAGAAAACAAAAAGTACTAAAGTTAAATAAGAAAATGCACAATGCCTTGAAGGTTATGAAAGAGAAGGCTGGCTTGGTGTGGGCTTTAAGAATGCTTTACTTACCCATAAATACAAGAGATGTCAATAACCACATCTATCATATCACAGCAGAGCTCATAGGTTTGCATATCCACTGGAGTGCTATCAGTTGCAATATAAATTTTACTGACCACATCAAATAGAAATGCCTTTTCAATTCCAGAATTCTGAAAAAAAAGATGCTATCTTAAAGCAACAACTAATTTCAGACCATGTTGTGTTTGCATAAAATTATATACTACAGTATCCTCAACGTAAAATGTGAATGAGAAAAATTAAGTTATTACAACCTCCAGTTGTAGCATTTTTATTATCATTTCAACTTCGTTCTCATAAACTTCTTTATAGTAGACTTAAATGAAAGCTAGAATTATCACCAATTACTTATTTTAAATAAACAACCCAGATAATATTTCCTAACTCTCAGGCTGTTTTTTTTTTTTTTAGAACTCACTCAGTGCATCATTCTTTCAGTGTTAAACAAATACATAATTATTCAAGTATATGCTTCACCACCAAAACCAAATTGTATGTTCTCTACCCTGATAGAGGTCTATTAATATTGATAATTGCTTACAACTTGAATGAACACTTCAACTATACTAATGAAACACATATTTTGGGAATTATATTTTAAAGGCTCTACAACATTATGTAGGAGTAATCATCAAAAGTAATCCTCATGTGACCTTGAAATGCTGTAAAAGCAAGCAGAAATAAGATCTTTTTCACTCTGACAATGTTATTCTCAAATTTTGTAAATGTTCTAATAGGAGCAAATTATTTACTTACTGAGATAAAGATGTTTAGCAAATTCTCTAGAGTGGGGAGTTGTGGAATCAGTTTCTGAACCACCTTGCTAAAAGCTTCAAATATTGAGTGATCATATATGCTTGTCAGATAAAAGCTGGAAGAGAAAACGATACTTCATTATGTTTTCCCTTTGACTGACCAATAGTTTGCTTACGCTGTGTCCTAACCCCAGGAATCTCCCTTCTGTAGCTACAGTTCTTTTTTTTTCTTTTTTTTTTTTTTTTTTTTCCCCAGTACTGGGAATTGAACTCACGACCTTGCACTTGCCAGGCAGGCGCTGTGCCGCTGAGCTAAATCCCCAGCCCCTATAGCTACAGTTCTAACATAGATACTAGCTCCCTGCAGAATTCACAAGCTTGGCAAAAAAATGAACAGATATTAAGCCACCCTCCTTCATCCCTTAAGATACCAGAACTGTGCCTATTCTTGTCTACTGACTGGCAAGCTTAAAAATATGGCCATATCTGCCCATGCCAGCCTTATGGCCCTTGACAGAATCTACACCTGACCATCTTTCTGTAAGCCATTAGCTGTCTGCTTAAATTATCACTACCGATGCAACTGTTTTCATTTGCCAATTTGCAAAATGAATGATGCCTGTACTACCCCACAAAGAGTTGTTTTCCTCTGTGTGCATCTCTAGTTCAACTATTTTCAGACTATTCCTTCATTAACAACGATAGATCCCATCATATTCACCAGGAACTGTAAAGTTTAACATTGATTAACTTCCTGGATTAGATGTTTTGGTTTTGTTATTTTTTTTTTATTTTAAAAATAAAAGGAAGAAGGGGTTGGGGATTTAGCTCAGCGGCAAAAGTGCCTGCCTGGCAAGCGCAAGGTCGTGAGTTCGGTTCCCGGTACCGGAGAAAAACCAAAAAAAAAATAAAAATAAAAATAAAAGGAAGAAAACATTAACAGACAGACAAACTTTTACAAAATAGCAAAAGAAGAGTACAAACAATACAGAGTTACAAACAAAGTGGTAGGAAATTAACAATGCTTGTTGTATTACATATTGATATCTTCAAAGTGGTTTCTCTGTCATGTTTTTTACATGAAGGAAGACTCTTAGCTTTGACCACTTGTTAAAAACAATCTTTCACCAAAGATTAGAATCAGTGTGTTTAAAATTGGTTTTTCCTATCGGGCATGGTGGTGCACGTGTGTAATCCCACCACTCGGGAGACTGAGGCTAGAGCACTGTGGTGAGTTCAAGACCAGAGTGGGCTACATAGAGAGTTCAAAGCCAAGCTGAACTATAAGACCTTATCTCAAAAAAGCCACCACTGGTTTTTCCTGAATCCTATCCCAGTATCTACAGCACAAGCAGGTAAACAAGGCAAATTAGTACCCATGCCAAGCCAACCACAGTGACTCTAGGGCCCAAACTGCTTTTTTCCATCCTTTACTAGGATCCCTAAGAGATTTCTGTTCTTACCTGAGGTGAATTTTTTCTAATCCAGCATCTGCAAGGTCATCATTTGCCCTCTGGTGAATGTCTCTTTGGGTTTCAATTTTGTGGTCATCTGACAGACCATCTACTTTATGAATAAACACCTCGAAGTTGATGTCAGTGTTCACCTTGTAGGCCCTGGTCACTGTGAGATGGAGCCTGGCCAGGGCTTCCATGTAGTCGTCCTGGGAACAAAGGCAACGCCTGTGAGAGGAGACCGCTTTGCTTCCAGAGTCTTCCACACACACTTTACTGGGAATCACATGGCTACAACCCCCATCACCGCCAACTATCAAAGTATTGCACAAAATCTCCCCCCAAAACCTGGCTTTATAGAAGTCAAGTTTGCAAACCAGTTTTGTTAACACAGAGAAGGAAAAGCTAACAAAATGCAGTCATAATTTAGGCCAATGACAGCCGTACAGAGCAGAGTTGCTATTTCAGGAAGAGAAACTGACTCCATGCTACTTAGGACAGTTCCTCCCAGCTTTCTGAGTCTCCTGGTGTACTGTGTGACTGATCAGAAATGGAGACATGAGAAGGGTCACTAGGAGGATGGGGAAACAGCCAGAGGAACAATTTTAAGCACACCAGTTCAGAGAAGTCAGCAAGTCATGGTCCACAGGGGCCCTGCCTGGATTTTGTAAGGAAGTTATACTGGAACTCAGCCATGCCCGTTGTGTGCACATTGTCTGCAGCTGCTTTCCCACCACGATGGCACAGCTGAGCAGTCTTCTTCCGTGGGAACTCCTCGGAGACAGCACCGTCTGCAAAGCCGCAGGTATTTCACCCTCTAGCTCACTACAGAAAGTTTGCTGACGCGTAGTGGGGGAGAGCAATTACCCAGAACAATACAAGAGGAAGCCTTCCTACACATACACAGTATTACAAACACCTACGTATCCATCAACACTGGAGTTAGGTGTGTTTCCCCCCCCCCAGCCTGTCCCTCTACTCTCACCCTCCGGAGGGGACCTCTACCGGAGTTTTGTGCTTATCCGCCCTCGTTTTTCTGCACCCCACATACACATCTCCGAACAATATAGCATTTTTTTACACTGTTTACAATGTCACATAAATATCAAGTTTGTACGTATGCTTTTTTGCTCAACATTATGTCATGGAGATTTACCGATGTTAAAGTGCGTCACTCTAATAATTCCTTTTAATGCTTCTGGAATTTCATTTTCTGGATGGTCTATAATGTACGACATATTTGCTTGTGAAGAGACATTCCAATGTTTCCAAGCCATATTAGAAGTGCTAATGTGTATCTCAGGTACATACAGTTTACCCCAAGGGCCTACTTGTCAGTCCTAATTAGGAGCACCTTAAACATGACTGGACAGGGTTGGACAGCGCCTAATGCCCCAGACCCTCACCAACACCAGGTGTTGCCAGAGCTCTGAGTTACTGCTAGTTTAAAGAGTGTGGATAGGTCTTGCTTTTACAGCAAAAATGGGAAAGGTATCTGGAAAAGTAAGAAATTTAAAGGACTTAACTACCACTACCTTCAGTATCCCCCACCCCAGCTGATTATGACTCCAACTCTGGAAAATAAAGGAAGCCGATATAACAGGGGATGTTTTTTGGCATTCTGTTCTCCAAACTAAATGAATAAAAATGTAGGCCTAAGCCAGGCACAGTGGCAGGTGACTTTAATCCAAGCATTCTGGGAGACTGAGACCAGAGGATTGCAAATTTGAGTCCAGTCTAGGCAACTGACCAAGACCCTGTCTCAAAATAAAAAAGCTCTTGATATGTAGCTTACTGTGAAGGCTCTGGGTTTAATCCCCAGGGCGTGCAAATATGTGCACGCACACACACACACACACACACACACACACAGCACCTAAAAATGACATTAGAAAGAAGAAAATAGTACAATGGGAATGTAACTCAGTGGGAGACCACTTGCCCAGCACGCACGAGGCCCTGGTTCCAACTCCAGCACTGCACAAAGACACAAAAAATCCTTGGTTCGGTAGAACAGAGGGATTCTTTCCATGGTGACTGTTACTGCCTTCAATGACAAACAGAAATAAAGGAGAAATATAGTCCCTAGTCTCTACTCTGAAATTAGATCTAGGAACCATAAGCAATCACCGTGAACACAGGTCACGTGGAGCCTCTCTGGGGTCCAAAGGCACCTATGCAATGGCGTCCGGAAACAGGATTCATTCTGTGGTCTCTGCAGAACGGCAAGCGTGTCACACATTTAACTCCCAGGAAATCACTCGTGCTTTCATTCTTTGTTATTTCTCAACATTCTGTGAGGACACATTTTCTCCTTGGGGACGTATTTATCTGGCCGTCCTGTGACTGTGAAGAATTCGCAGGCAACATATACAAACACGAGGTATCAGAGCAAAAAGCACTGCTTAAAAATAAAGGAAAGGACACTCGCACCGCTGAGGCACTTTCCTGAACCCTGGTTCTCCTTTTAGTGCTTGTCATCACAAAATGTAGATTCCTGCAAACCTGACTTTTACAGTCTGCTTCCAACAAAAAAGTATAAGCTACCTCTCAAACTGCTTTTTACGTTATTACTTATTTTTAGTAAGTGACCGTGCTCACAGTGTTTTTCCTGCTGTTTGTTTTGCAGCACTGGGGACTGAACCCAGGGCCCCTGCATTTCAGGCAAGTGTTCGGTGCTGCTGAGCTACATTCCCAGACCTTCTACTCATTTCTAAAATTTCTCAATTCTCATACCTTCCTCTCACAGTTTAAAAAAAAAAAAAAGAAACAAAACTAAAACAGGAAACACATTTACCAACCTAGGTGGAAGGTCTCCTTTTTCATGTTCAGGTAAAATTAAAACCAAATTACAGTTGCAGTCTAAAAACAGGCAAGTGTACCTATTTTAGCCAAATTACAGCCATCTGATACACATTTAAAGTAGATTTACGTTGTAAATTTGAATTTCATAAATATAAACTGCTACGCAAGCACAATGGTATTTTCGTACTTACTAAGCCATTATCTTGAAATGACAAGTCATCTGGTTGGAATCCACTCACTCAGGGGCAGAACTACTATACTTGCTACCTAAATAACACCCAAAACAGCACTGAGTGACTCAGAGAGAACACAGAGCTTAGAAGAGACAACATCTGCAGAGCATCCCCTCCCGGGAGTGTGTGCACTCCCTTTCCACTCCGCAAAGGCACCAAGCTCCCCAGATTTATGGTGCTGGCACAGGGAGACAGGAAGGCAGGGGATACTGCCCAGGCCACAGATGGGCCGGAAACAGGTCGGGCCGGAAACAGGTCGGTACAAGTGGAACAGCCAGGAAAGCAGCTGCTGACAGCAGGCCCTGGACAGATGCAGTCTACTGCATGACCAATACGTGCATGGCTGAGTGGGCCCAAAGAAGCGAGAAGTGCTGTTCATGGATCAGCCATTGGTTTTAATGTGTCCCCGCGCTGCACTCCGCAAGAAGGAACCCCTTCTAACCTACACCATGCTCCATGCACCATGCAGCTACACGGTGCAGCCTCTTGAAACTGAAAGGCTTCGTTGAAAGTTTGATTAGTATGTCACATAAATAGGCACCTAGTTCCAAATCCTCTGAGGCAAAGCAGTCTTCTCAGACAGTGACCATCCAAGTATGGGCTCAGGATCATGATTACTAACAGTCTCAATAACCCTCCTCTCTACACCCTAGAAGGGCCTGGTGTTCAGACAGGGTCATGCATGCCGGCAGCTGGCTGACCCAATTGCAGGTGCATGGTTTCAGGGAACTATCAAGACTTGAACTTCAGAGCAGATTTAGCACACATCTGAAGGACTGGTTGTCTTTTATTCCCCTACAGAGCTACAGAGCAGACCCTGGAGGAGCCCACAGTCTGGGATGAGTCACCAGCTGCTTTCTAGGAATGTCTGCAGAGTACCAGTGCCCCAATCCTGCTACAGGTACCCTCCCTAAAACTGATCTGCCTGAGATGCTCCTGTGACCCTTTTCCACCCTCCTCAACTACAGGAGAAAGGCTCCAGGTTATAAAAAAAAAACAGGTGTCAAAGAGTCAGTGCAAAGCTAAGGTGAATCTGATAAAGAGAATGACTAATGGCTGGTGAATATGACTCTTCACTAGCCAAGGGATTCCCATTACTGTTTCCAACAAAGCTGAAGGAGGACTTACATGGGATGTCTACAGACAAACTGCTAAAATAATTTTTCATATAGAAACCTGGGTAATGCAGGGGATGGAACTGGAAGGGTTTTAAATCATTGGACAAACACTATAACAAATGCTGCTTATTTATGTGAGCAGTTTCTCAGTGCTTACATCTATACAAGCAGAACACAAAAAGAACTGCTCCAAATCCTGTCTTAGGCAAGCACAGATACATAAAGCAGACAAACATCAACTGTACATCTTATGTTTTTTTCTTTGTAGTATTGGAGAATTAAACCCAGTGCCCTGCTCATGCTATACACTAACAGCTACATCCTTCTCCCTTTTATTTAACACAAGTCTCCTTCAGTTGCCCAGGTTGGCCTGGGACTCATAGTCCTCCCTGCTCAACTTCCCACGTAGCTGAAAGAGGTGTTTGCCACCACACTCTGCTATTTATCTTTTTAAGAGATAGTTCTCTCCAATTTTACTTTTTAGAAGTCACCTATGAAACAGTTATGTTATCTTAGTCAGTTGTATATAATTATTACTTGATGCAAAAGAAAAATTTCCATTTAGTCTTTTACCTGCTTAGGCAATAGTAAACATTTTTAAATGTAAACTTATGTATATTACTTTTTTTGCAGAGAACCTGTGTATCAGAGTGTTTGAGAAATTCATCTTTCTGAGCTACAGGGTTTTTTTGTTTGTTTGTTTTTTGTTTTTTTTCTGTTTTTTTTTTTTTTTGAGACAGGGTCTCACTATGTAGTTCAGTCTATTCTTGAACTCACGGAGATCCTTCTGCCTCAGCTTTGCCAGTGCTGGGATTATAGGTGCACACCACCATGCCTACCCTGGTACAGTTGTAAGCATGACCAAGAGGGACATTTTGGAGATGTCCATCAAGAGTATCAGAGGGGGATGACATGTATTTGCTGTCCTTGGCCTGGACAGTCCTCACTATCTGTGAGATTTCCCAGGTCTACGATCTATGGAAGTGTACAGAGCTCCATAATTGTCAGACAGCTCTTGGTCAGGGATGGATAGAGTGAGCCTTTTCTCCTTTGCTATGCCTGAGGGGCCTAAGAAACCCGTTTGGTAAAAAGGCCTGTGCTAGATTTAAAAACCCAGAAACCATCACAAACAAATAGGGTGAGGTGCCGCTTCTATTGGGGTTACAAGGCCATCAAACCCTCGAGACTTGTGAGCTATACCTGGGAGTCGATGACAAATATTAGTGCTCCTGTTCCCCTGAAGATCATCTCATAGTCAAACGTGGGGTCGAAAAAGTCGATCTGTCCTGGGAAATCCCAAATCTGAAAATTGACAAAGGAGCTGTTGGAAACGTCTTCTCGGCATATCTTGTTAGTACTCTCCAAGAACAGTGTTTCATTGGGAGACATTTTGTGAAAGACAACTTTCTGAATGGACGACTTGCCGCTTCTCCTCAGGCCCATGAGCAGGATTCTCGGCTTCACCTCAGAGCTGAAGGGATCACTGAAGTCCAGAACTGGAGAAACCACAAAACAAAAATGAGGGTAAGTCGTTTTCACAGCGGGTAATTAGAAGAGTTTCACTTCCACCTCGAATGTGATTTATGACTCACTGATGATGCTCCTCTTCCAGATACAGGGAATAGTAACTCCACCACCCCACCATGGAGGGGACAGCTCTGGGACGTGCAAAACACTGAGAAGTGCTGTGTTACTACCTTATGCCATCTAACAGGGGCAGAAACATGAGGAAATCCACATCCCAAGCAGGGACTCTGGAATATGAAGAGCAGAGATTTCCTGGAGCAGCCTGCCCGTGGAAAAATGCAGAATGCAGAATGTTGAGCATTCTGGAGCAATGTCCTTCTCTACATCATCGTCAGTCTCTATTTGCTACAGAAACACTGGTGTATTTGAATTACAACTCTCTCAGTTCGCCTCTCCTGGTCAGTGCTTTCACAAGTCACAAAGGCCTGCAAAGTGGGGTTGGTCTAGATGATTCAGATTTAGACTATGTCAGAAAGTAGATGCAAACTGTGTGAGGAGCAAACCTCTTCCAGGCCCATCCTGGCTGTAGGCCTGCACCACCCAGAAAGGTAGCTACTAACCATATATAGTTATTTAAATTATCTTAAATAGGCCAAAACTAGAAATTCAGGGGTAGACATAGTGGTACATGCCTGTAATCCACCTGCTCAAGAGGCTGAGACAGGAGGATCTTACATGGAAGACCAGCCTATGCAATGTGGAGACCCTGTACCAAAAATTTAAAGGGGACTGGGAATATAGCTCAGTTGTAGAGCATGCTTGCCTGGCATGCATAAGACCCTGGGCTCAGTCCCAGTACAGCAAAAAATAAGTAAATAAATGGGTAAATAAATGAAATTCAGATTCTTCTTATATGAAGTTCCTAGAGTAACCATATTCATAGACACAGAAAATAGAATGGCAGTTTCCAGGGCCTGGAAGGAGAGAGGAGTGAGGAGTTGGTGTTTATTGGATAAACAGTTTCCATTGGTGGAATATGAAAAAGTTCTACAGGTGGACGAAGGTGATGAATGTACCCCAATGTGAATACATTTAATGCCACCAATTTGTGTGCTCCACAGTGGTTGAAATGAAAGCTGGTCATAGTGGTACACGCCTGTAATCATCCCAGCACTCAGGAGGTGAAGGCAGGATGATATGGCGAGTTCAAGGTCAGCCTGGGCTCCACAGCGAGACCCTTTCTTCAAAAGAAAAAGGTTACAGTGAGAAATGTTCCATTGTGTATATTTCACCACAATGAAAATGATTCAGTTCCTTGGTTTCATAACTCCTGCGAGTGAGTGCTCAATCGCCGCACTGGCAAGTGGCTAGCGTAACTGCACAACACAGATAACAAAACATTGTTATCGTCACAGGAAGTTCAAAAGGTCAGCGCTAGTCTATTCCCTGGTAACAAAACCTCAACCCTAAAATACTCTGCCAAGAGTGCTAGAAGTATGAGCATATTACTGGATAAGAGCAGAAATTGGTGCAAAAGTTCAGAACCCTGCAGGACTCATTCTTTTGTTTGGAACTTGTAGTGTTAGCTCCACAAGGCTCTTTCATCCTAGACAACCACATACTTAATTTCTAAGCAATCTTCCTGCTTGACCAAAAGCTGACACATTTCATGGAAACAAAGGGAGGGCGGCCTAGTGGTGTTAAGGAGGGCCTTGAAGTTAGTACAACTTGGAGCTTCAGCTATCAGACCTTGAAAAAGATACTTAGCTTTTCAGACTTGATTTCAAAATCCATAAAATGGAATTGGTACTGATAATAAACATCCCATAGGACTGTTATGATAAGTAAATGAAAGAAAGGACCTAAAATAATTATTAAAAATAGGGCTAATTCAAAAAAGGATGCTAGACCACCTAGTTATTCACATGCAAAAGAATAAAGATGACCCTTACCTCACACCATACACAAAGTTAACTCAAAATGCACCTAACACATGACATGAAGTGCTAAAACTATAAAACTCTTAGGAGGAAACGTAAGAGTAAATCTTGGTGTCCTTGGACTAGGCAATGGTTTCTTAGCTTTATGACAACAAAAGCACAAACACCCACAGGTGGAAATAACAGATGAACTGGACTTCATCAAAACTTAAAAAGAAATTTTAAATTCATCAAAATTTAGAAAGATAACCAACAAAGTGGGAGAATATATTTGCAAATTATATATACCATAAGGGTCTAATAACCTGAATATATAAAGAACTTGATAGAAAAAAAGTAGGGTCTAAGTAGACATCTCTCTCAAGAAGATACACAAATGGTCAAAGGCATATGAAAAGATGCTCCACATCAAAGCCATGATAAGATACCATTTTGCGGGGCTGGGGATTTAGCTCAGTGGCAAAAGCGCCTGCCTGGCAAGCGCAAGGTCGTGAGTTCGGTTCCCGGTACTGGAGAAAAAGCAAAAAAAAAAAAAAAAAAGATACCATTTTGCATTCCCTAGAATGTCTATAATCAAAAGATAATAACAAATGCTAGTAAGGATGTCGAGAAATTGGCACCTCATGCACTAGTAGTGGAAATGTAAAATGGTTTACTTTGATAGAGTTGGCATAGCCGGGTGTGGTGGCACACACCTGTAATCCTAGCACTTGGGAGGCTGAGGTAGGAGGATTGCTGTAAGCCTGAGGCCAGCCGGGGCTACAAAGTGAGCTCAAGGACAGCCGGAACTACATAGCAAAATCCTCTCTCAAAAAGACAAAACAAAGTTGGCAGTTCCTAAAAAGCGTAACTACAGAGCTACTATATGACCCAGTAATTCCATTCCTGGGATAGGGATGGGGGGTCCAGACAGAAATTTGTATATTGGTATTTATCTATGTTATCCCCCAAAATGTCGGGAAAAAACCAAAAACCCCATCAACTGATGAAAGGAGAAACAGAATGTGATCTATCTGCACAGCAGAAATTATTCAGCCATAAAACGGAATGAGATGCTAAAACATGCTACAACACGGATGAGCGTGGAAAACATTACACTATATGAAAGAAGCTGGACGCAAAACATTACATTTTTTTTTTTTTTTTGGTTGTTTTTTTTTTTTTTCCCGGTACCGGGATCAAACTCACAACTTTGGCTTGCCAGCCAGGCGCTGTGCCACTGAGCTAAATCCCCAGCCCAACATTACATATTGTATGATTTTATCTACATGAAATATCCAGAGTGGTCAAATCCACTGAGACAAAGAGTTAGTGGTAGCCAGGGGCTGGAGAGAAGGGAAAATAAGAAGTGACTGTTAATTGTGTATGTAGTTTCTTTGAAGTGAAGAAAATGTTCAGGACTTAAAGTGATGATGATTGCAATGAATTGTACATTTGGAGGGGTTGTTTTGTATTGTTTTTGTTTCTTTCTTTTTTTTTTTTTTTTTTTTGAGACTGCATCTTGCCATGTGTTCCAGACTGGCTGAGAATTTAGGCTGGCTTCAAATTCACAATCCTCCTGCATCAGCCTCCTAAGCGCTACAATTACAGATGAATGCCACCATGCCCACCTTGCCCTACACTACACTTCAAAGTAGCAAATATTATGTATGCCATTTGAAGTATAGTCAATTGTTTTTCAGTACTGAGGATTAAACCCAGAGCTTCATGCATGCTCAGCAAGCACTCTACCATTGAACTACACCCCTAGTTTGTTTTTCAGATAGGCCTCACTAAGTTGCCCGGGGTTGCCCAGGGCAACCTTGAATTTGCAATCCTCCTGCCTCAGCCTCTTGAATAGCTGAGGTCACAGATGTACATCACCATGCTCAGTTCATATCTCAATTTTTTTTTTTGGTCCCAGGAATCAAACTCACGACCTCGTGCTTGCCAGGCAGGCGCTGTGCCGCTGAGCTAAATCCCCAGCCCCCATATCTCAGTTTTTAAAAAAGGCTTCATAATGACCCAAAACACAGAAACATTTAAAAAGCCCCATTATTAAACTTTGAGAAAGATCAAGAAAAGAAATAAACATCCTTAATAAAGGACAATGGCAGGTATGGTAGCACATGTCTATGATCCCAGCTCAGGAGGATGAGGCAGGAGGATTCCAAGTTTGAGGCCAGCCTGGGTAACTTAGGAAGACCCTATTTAAAAAAATTAAAAAGAGCTGAAGATGTAACTCAGCATTACCTAGGTTCAAACCTAGTGAAGAAGAAAACGGAGAAGCAGGAGCGGAAGGAGGAGGAGAAGGAAGAGAAGGAGGAGAAGGAGAAGGAAGAGAAGGAGGAGAAGGAGAAGAAAGAGGAAGAGGAGAGGAGAAAGAGGCAGAAAGAGAAGGATATAAGCAAATATAGAGATACACATATATTAAATTATTTTTCTGAATTTATTTTGTTACTTCACTATGTCTTTCTCTGTCCCTGGCCTTGGCCTCACCATAATCAAATAAAGACTGGAAAAGTAATATTTTTCTAATGTAATTAGCCATGTTCCCCTGAAATTCTAGTTTTGTAAAGCATAATGTTAATATTTGATAATATCTTAGTAAATTTCACTGTATATATTTTGTAGTTTGAATTTGCAACAGTATAGGTAAACACAGATTTCAAATAAACAGTGATTAATAAAAAGTAGGCAGATACAAATGAACACAGACAAGACTTCACTACAAGCAACATCTCGCCCCTGCTAACACATACTGTTTTCCAGTTCAACTTAATACAATTCAACAGACTGCTTGATAAAGGCTGTAAGATGAACAAAAACCACCTAAGATATCACCAGCTTTCTTCTTCCTTGATTATATGCTCTTTACTCACAGTACTGCCATTACAAGCTTACCTTAGCAAAAGCAGGTTCATGAACTGAAACAGACAACAGAACTTCAAGTTCAAAAATATCAGACGGCTAACATGCTGTCTTCCCCCTCAAACTAAATCCCTAAGAATAAAGGAAAATGTATGCATAATAAATAGATAAACAGGGGCTGGGGATTTAGCTCAGCAGCACAGTGCCTGCCTGGAAAGCACAAGGTCATGAGTTCGATT